CCCTGCGAGCCCTTTCCTGGTCCCCCCACCCCCACCCCAGGAGTGTCTGCCATCCACCCTTCCATAACCAGCAAGTGACCTTTGCCTGCCTCAGTACTTTGTATGACGGTAGCATGCAGTATGTACCTCTTGGTGGCCGGCTTCCTCTGTGTTCGCTTGTGAGATTCATCCTCCCGTGAGTTCCTTTCCATTGCTCTGGTCATTTCATTCAGTGTCTATACCACAGTCTATTCTTTTTGCTTCTGATGAATATTTTTATTTTCAGGTTTGGGGTATTACAATTATGACATTCTTTTATGTATCTCCGGGTGTCCTTGATACATGCATTTTTATCATGTATATCAGTTTCTTTGGGGGATGTTAAAGTTTGGATGAGGTGGTGCTTTTTGGCCAGAGTTCTCTGTTCTAAAGGTAACCTTTTCCCTTTTAATTAACAGTAGTAGTCTCAGGGGTGATACTTTGAAACTAAATATCCAGTGCTCCAGTGTACATATATATGCACTTATGTAGACACATACACATGTGCACACACGCATATAAGTAATTTAATGTATTTTTTATTGAGTTGAAATTCACATAAAAATTAACTTTAAAACAATTCACTGTATTCATGATGTATAGTCACCACCCTACCTCTGCCAAGTTTCAGATCACTTTTTTTTTTTTTTAAGATTTTATTTATTTATTTGACAGTGAGAGAGGGAACACAAGCAGGGGGAGAGGGAGAGGGAGAAGCAGGCTTCCCGCAGAGCAGGGAGCCCGATGTGGGGCTCGATCTCAGGACCCTGGGATCATGACTTGAGCCGAAGGCAGACGCTTAATGACTGAGCCACCCAGGTGCCCTGATCACTTTTTTTTTTTTAAGATTTTATTTTTAAGTAATTGCTACACCCAGCATGGGACTGGAACTCACAACCCCGAGATCAAGAGTGGCGTGGTCCTCCGACTGAGCCATCCAGGCACCCCGAGGTCACTTTTATTCTCTCTCTTCAACCCTCGGCAGCCTCTAATCTCTGTTCTGTCTCTGTGGATTTAATTATTCTGAATATTTCATATGAATGCAGTCGCACAAAACGTGATTGTCTGTGCCCAGCTGCTCTCAGCATTATGTTCTCAAAGTTCATCTGTGTTGTAGCTGCATCAGAAGTTCATTCTTTTTTTTATGGCTGAATAATACTCCATTGTGTGGACATACTGTATTTGTGTATCCATTCATCTATTAGTGGAAATCTCGGTTTTTTTCCTACCTTTTAACTATTGTGAATGACCCAGTACTTTTCTACTCTGTGGTTTTAGCATCCATTGATGAGTGTCTGAATCTATTATTATGATAATGATTAGAAAGTGAAGATTTTGTATTTATATTTTTATCTTTCCTACTACATTGATTAGATGGAATTCTGGGAAGAAGACTGTTAAGACTGTGTGTGTGTGTGTGTGTGTGTGTAGTATTAATATCAGGATGGACTTGGGGATTTTTATTCGGTATATAATCCATTCTTGTTATTATTCATTTTTATGCTCAGATTGTACCAGAACGGCCTAGTGGGAGTTCCTTAAGCTGGCTCCCATTCTTCCTCACATGTCTCTCTTGGTGTTGAAGTCAGTGGCTTATAAGAGGTGTCCATTTATGTTCATTCTTTTTTTTTTTTTTTTTTAAGATTTTATTTATCTGACAGAGAGACACACAGCGAGAGGGGGAACACAAGCAGGGGAAGAGGGAGAGGGAGAAGCCAGCTCCCTGATGAGCAGGGAGCCTGGACACAGGGATCGATCCCAGGACCCTGGGATCATGACCCGAGCCAAAGGCAGATGCTTAACGACTGAGCCACCCAGGCGCCCCTATGTTCATTCTTATTTAGGAAGCACCAACTAGTTCAAGAATTGTTCATGGCTAGGGTATGTGGCAGGTCATTGGTGTTTATGGATAATAGATTTGTGACCTACATCAGTGGTGAACATGTCAGGGGAGCTCCAGTTAGTAAAATCTGATACGTGCTTTAAAATGAATATAGAGCATGGGCTTTGTTTATTTTTAAAGATTTTATTTACTTATTTGACAGAGCGAGAGAGCACAAGCAGGGGGAAGAGTAGAGGGAGAGGGAGAAGCAGGCTCCCCGCTGAGCAGGGAGCCCAATGTGGGGCTCTATCCCAGGACACTGGGATCATGACCTGAGCCAAAGGCAGATGCTTAACCATCTGAGCCACCCAGGCGCCCCTATTTATTTAATTTTTAAAACGATTTTATTTATTTATTTGAGAGAGTGTGCACGCGTGCATGGGGAGAGGGAGAGAGAGGATCCCAAGCAGATTCCACACCCAGTGCAGAGCTCAACATGGGGCTTGATATCACAACCCTGAGATCATGACCTGAGCTGAAATCTAGAGTCAGACACTTAACCGACTGAGCCACCCAGGCGCCTCAAGCATGGGCTTTATTTAAATGAAAAGGATTTAGAATCCTGGATATGTGTGTGCATTTATTTATATTTGAGGCTTTCTTTCCCTGACCTGGTAGCATTAGGACATCATCAGTTTCTGTGTGTTTAGCTGGAGCTCTGTTTCCTTGTAATTGCTATAGTTTTTTTGTGCAGCTAAGATTCTTGAGGATCTTTTTCCTCAGGCAGATTCCTGTTTCATGAAATTCTGCAAAAGAACAGGTGATATAGCTTTACATTTGAAGTTCAGGGCTTAATTTTTATCTTTTTAAAAAACCTTTTGTGTGTTTTGGGGTGCCTGGCTCGCTCATTGGTTGGGTGTCCGCCTCTTGATTTCAGCTCAGGTCATGAGATTGAGCCCCAAGTCTCAATCTCTCTCTCTCTAGAGCCCCAAGTCTCTCTCTCTCTAAAGTCTCTCTTTCTAAAGTAAATAAATCTTTTTTAAAAAGTTTTTGTGTGTTTTAAGGGAAAATTAGTTATGTAATGATCCAGATAAGCTTATATTTTCAAGGTAATGCTACTCTTGAATTTTTTTGTTATGTAAATAGAATTGGATTTACTGTTTTAAGTTCATAGAGGAATTTTTTTAAAAAAATCATTATAATGCCTCTAAAATATCCTGACTGGGGCGCCTGGATGGCTCAGTTGGTTAAGCGACTGCCTTTGGCTCAGGTCATGATCCCAGGGTCCTTGCTCAGTAGGGAACCTGCTTCTCCCTCTCCCTCTGCCTGCTTGTGCGCACACTCTCTTTCTCTCTGGAATATAAATAAAATCTTAAAAAAAAATTAAAAAATATCCCGAGTGATAAAAATAAAGGACACCTCTTAATCTTTCCCATTCTTTGTATCTGTAATTGTAGTGAACAGTAAATGGAGTCTGGCTTGTGGTTGTACTACGAATCTTCAGGAATCTGTTGCTTTCAATATTTATAGCCAAAGGGAAATTTTCCATGATACCTGAAAGTATCATTGGCTTACATCAAATATAACTGTATATGTAATTTAGACATGTCCTCTGTATTCCTAAAAGCAATTATGGTTACTTAATTTCTTTGATTTATCGCTAGAAGAATCAATAGATGATACAACTATTTATACTACTCTGACATTTATTTTTGTTTTTGTTTTAAAGATTCATTTATTTGAGAGAGAGAGTGAGAGCATGAGAGTGCACGAGGTGGGGGTGGGCCAGGGAGAGGAGCTTGTCTGTTTTGTTTTATGGGCTGTGGCCGCAGGGCTCTGTTGTCTTTGAGGAGCATATGCCCCTGCACCCTCCCTGGCCAACTCTGCACCAGTTCTCTCTCCTCTTGGAGGCTGACAGAGTTATCAGTGTCCCTACACAGCTTCTCTTTAGGCAGTTACTATCTAGGTGAAAACTTTGATTTGTGTTTTATGTAAATATGGTTTGAGCCCGGTCCCCAGAGCCTCTCCTTCCTCCATGCCCCCCACTCTAGGTGAATGCCCTGTCACCCCTGGGCTTGGCACTTGATTTGATCTTGTGTGTGCAGAGCGAAGCTTAGGAGGGGCTGCTTCCAGGCTGAGGGGCCTCCTGGGGTTAGGCACGTCCTAGTCCCCATTCTGACTGGGTCACGCACACACACACAGGTCACAAGCATATATACACTTAAGTAACTCTTCAGATGTCAGAAGAGCGCAAACCTTCCCCAGCGGGTGGTTGTGAGCATTGAATGAGGTCCATCATCTGAAGGCCCGCGGCACCAGCGTCTAGAGTGCATGCGCGGGGAGTGTGTAATGTTTGTGTTGGCAGCCCTTTCTGTCTTAACCTTCCCCTCCCCGTACCCTGTTTATTTCCTCCTGGCCTTCATCCCCCTGCTTCCTGCCCACCCATCACCGCAGAAGAAAACCCGACACCATGGTGTCCTCTCAGAGGCTGGAAATTCAATTTGATGATCTGCAGGGAGTTTATAGTTACTACTGCGGTGCAGAGGTCATACTGGGCTAGAAAACAGTGGTGGTCTTGGGTGGTTTGGGTGTGTAAGAATTATCACTGCTCGCAATGGCTGAGATTAAAATTTTAGGTTTCTGTGGTCTAACTCTTGGCAACAAACTTTCTTTTTCTTGTTCTTCTGTATCACTTTGACTCATGTCCCTCTCTGCTGGTTGCCGATGGCTTGTAAATTGGCTGTGGTCTCGTGACCTGGGATCGCAAACGTACAGTGATGTCCACGGGAAGGGTGGCTAGGCCGAGAGTCGCTGGTGTGAAATGGGGAAGGAGACTAGAGGGTGGGCAGCACCCCGTCGGGGCTGGGGAGGAGACTGATGGCTCCTACGGCTTCATGTGGTAAACATCTGAGCCGCTTATGGGTTTTGGTAGTTGAGATTGTGGGCTTGATTTCTTACATGGAGCTAGTTTTGAGCTAAATGAGCCAAGAGTACCTTTTGGAGCAGTTGAAAGGATTAACAAAGAGATCTCTTGTTGAGTGAGACTGGTGATACCCTGTGATGTCCCGTCCTCCCACTGCCTTGTTGGTTGTGGATCACTTCGCTTGACCACTTTCTGTCCTAGAACGCCTGGTTTCTCATTCTCTGCTCTCAATTTCAGGCGAAATCGTGCGTCTGTCACGTTTGTGGAGTCCACCTGAACAGGCTTCACTCCTGCCTGCACTGTGTCTTCTTCGGCTGCTTCACAAAGAAACATATCCATGAACATGCCAAGTCCAAGCGGCACAACCTGGGTAAGGCGCCCTCCGACGCATCTCCCTGGCACAGCAGCCCCCTGTTCCCTGACCTGTGGTTCCCAGCACCCCTCATCCCAGGGGCCGGTCCGAAATCCTTGTGGAAGTCCAGGGGCGGTGAAATACACAGGCCTCAAAGGGATTATGCACCTAGCCTGCCTTTAGGCATTGGAGTTGAAGTTAGTATTTTATGTAACTTGAAATGATCAATTACAAAGGCTCACTGTTCAGCTCTTTCTTTAATGCAGCCTCAGAGCCTTCTTTCCCTCTGAAAAGCCTGGTTAGGTATTCGATGAGGCAAGAATTCACAAAGAAAGATCTTAGATGCAGTGTTGGGTTATTGATGTCAGCATGGCTGACAGCCCAACTGGGTGGTTTCTATCGCTTTCTATAATGGATGTTCACTGTTCTCGATAACACAGAGTCATGAAAAGGCTAACAGCACTGTGGCGTCAAGATAAATTTGTTTCTTATACTTAGAAGTTCCAACTGTCACACATTCTGGAAGTTACATAAAGCAAAAGTTTTGTCCTTGGCTTTATTTCTAACTGTGCTCCTTAAATGTTTCTCTCCTTCAGAATAATGTTTTCAGTGATGGTGAGGTTCTTAGGCTGTCCTTAAGAAAATCACTTTTGAAAGGTCCAGGCCAAAGAAACTTCATGGGGGCTCGGTGATTCCAGTTAAAGATCTTTTTAGGCCTTTTTCGATAGTAGAAATGGAATGTACTAACTGAGTCATCCCTCTTGGACTGCCACACTCGTAACTAAGAACTCACAGCAAGCGCTCGTAAAAAACCTGCTTGGAACAAGGGGACTCAAGTTGTGATGGTGAGCTGATTGGCCTTTTTGGAAAGAGAGCTAATGGTGCCTATGGTGCTCTCATGAATTATGTTCCACGGAGGAATGAGGTCATCCGTGATCTCTTACATTGACTAACCAGACGGAAAAGACACTGCTCGGGACAGTATGGATGTGACAAAATTATGTAGCATTTACTTAATGTAGATAAGTGCTTTCACAATATAAATGAAGAGTATTCCTGCCATGTCTGTATCTCAGACCAGACCCACGTAGGCCGCTCTGCTGTTTTTCCTGGGCTGTGACTTCATGGGGTTAAAGGGTTATGGAAAATTGGAAATCTATTTGCACTTAAAAAAGCTCTCTGAAGAATCTTACTATTATCCAGAGTCATCTATAAAAATCACTTCAGAAATTTATTCATTTCGTCCACCTCACTGAAACTCTGCGTCTCCTTTTGCTAGAAAGCATAAGTTTTAGAAAGTTTGCTTTCAGAAACAAAACCTTGAAATGGGAGAAAGATCAGTTCTTTGCTGTGTTAGAGTGCCTTAATTTATTTAAACAATATGCATATTGTTTGCATATGTGTTTAACCAAGCTAGAAATTAGGTTTCTGTGTCCGGGTGGGGAGGAGGGCGGCGGGCACGGGAGGGGGAAGCTGGCAGCCTGACTCCCACCTCGCCCTTTGGTCTCCGTCTTTCCCGACTTGTTGAGAGCACCCGCCCACCCTGCACCCTGTGCATCTCACTACCGCTCCCGCCTGCCATCTCCAGAGCAGCCTGTAGGCTGTCGACATTGAGGTTTTTACACGGAGTATTTTGCAGGATGTCCAAGGGCCAAGTAATTGAGCAGTGGTGTGGGGACTGAGGAACCTCAGTTTTCATCACGTTGCGTTAAGGCAACTTTGGTCAAGTTGCTCCACCTCCCAGGGGATATTCAGTAGTATAATGTTGGGACTGGAAGTAGATTATTGGGAAAATTCTCAGCGCATCTGGTTTTTAGTTGGAGTAGTATAAGAGGCCTGAACGGAGTCCTGTCTGAATATTGTGGATGATGCACTTAAAGATAGAGTATTCGTAGCAGTAAGGTCATCGTCGAAGGTCTTGTGGAGGGGTAGATGAGGAAGGCACAGGACAAGGAGAGTCTGATGGAGGAAGGTTCTACTTCTTGGTCCGTCCTGCCCTATAAAGTTGCCTTAATGCAACGTGATGAATAAATACACCCTTGAGGAGAGAGAGCTTACTCTCATTCGGGGTGTTCCCTCCGATGGGCTGGCGTACTTCCACTTGACTGTGGGACCTGTTGCGGGAGTGTAGGTGACAAACGGGGAGCTGTTGGATTTCATACCTTCTGGCTTCTTACACTAAGTCTCAAAGTACTTAGATTTTGCCACCATGAGCCACAAAGGTGTAAAAGTAATGCCTTTAGCCTCGTTCCCTGTGTCTTAGAAGAGTTACTTTCATTGCTCCTGATAGAGCACGTGATGGTGGGGGCGGGATATCAGCTCTCACCTAGCACCTGGTGGTGGTCTCCCAATGTTCTCTAGGTCTCCCTGTGACCGAAGGGGAAAGGACCATGCGCGGTGCGGGCAGGCATGGTGCCTGTGTCAGCTGTGGCTTTGCGAACTCCCAGTGTACCCCCATCTCGACTGTGAAATGGTTTTCCAAGGGAACTACCTTGATTGTAGGTGTTGCTTTTATATTTTATATTGAGGTGAAATTCACAGAACGTACAATTAAACAGTTTAAAGCGTACAATTGAGTGGCATTTACTCACCACATTGTGCAAACACCATCTCTCTACTTCAGAACTTTTTCATCTCAGAAGAACACCCCACCTCCAGGAATGAATTCTCCCTCCCCCAACCCCTCCCCCACCACCGGAAATCGCTAATCTGCTTGTTGTCTCTCTGGATTTGCCTATTCTGAATATTTTATAAAAGGAATGGTACAGGGCGCCTGGGTCGCTCAGTTGGTTAGGCGACTGCCTTTGGCTCAGGTCATGATCCCGGAGTGCCAGGATCGAGTTCCGCATGGGGCTCCCTGCTCAGCGGGGAGTCTGCTCCTCCCTCTGACCCTCCCCCCTCTCATGTGCTCTCTCTCACTCTCTCTCTCTCAAATAAATAAAATAAAATCTTTAAAAGGAATGGTACAGTAGATGACCCTTTGTGTCTAGCTTCTTTCTTTTAACATGTTTTCAGGGTTCATCCATGCTGTAGCGTGCATCAGTAATTCATTCCTTTGTATGTTTAAGTAATTGCACATTGTGTGGATCTTCCATATTTTGTTAATCTTTTCGTCCATTAGTGGACATTTGGGTTGTTTCCACCTTTTGGCTCTTACAAGTAATGCTGCATTAAACACTCGTGTATGAGTTTCTGTGTGGACAAATGTTTTCATTTATTTTAGATCTATTCCTAGGAGCGAAACCACAGGGTCATATGGCAAGTCTGTGTTGAATTTTTTGTGGGGCCACCAGGCTTTCCCACAGTGGCTGCACTGTTTTCTGTTCCCACCAGCCTTGTATGAGGGTTCCAGTTTCTCCACATGCTGGTCAACATTTATTTTCTTTTTCTTAAGTAACTCTGGCCATTATGATGGGTGTGAAGTGGTGTCTTATTGTGGCTTTGATGTGCATTTTCTCAATGACCAGGGATGTTAAATGTTTTTTTTTCATGTGCTTCTTGATCCTTCATATATCTTCTTTGGAGATATGTCTGTTCAAGTCACCTGTTCATGTTTTTAATTGGGTTGGGTTGTCTTTTTGTTGTACTTTATGAGATACATTTATTTTTTTATTTTGGAGATACATATATATATATATATA